GCCTCGCCTTGCCTTGTCCGTCATCCCCATGAGATCCTACGGAGGCCCAGGGACACACAAACAAATAAACGCAAAGTTCTGGATTCTTCGCGTTATGTCATCTTTTTCTGGATGCTCGTCTTCTCCCCCCCCCCATTCCCCCACTCTCCGTATCTTCCTGGGGGTCGACGCTTCTCTGTGTCCGTGTGCTCGCTTGCCTCCTGAGATCCGGGCGCCGCAGTGCCCTCACGCCGGGCGGTTTCGCCCGGCCCCAGGCCCGGGGGGCCACCACAGGTCGAGCCGGCGCGGCAAGCGCCGCAGGGAGAGGGGGTCCAGGGGGGGTTGCCGGTCGTGATTTCGCTTCCGCTGCTGCACTCTGTCGCGCCGCGTCGGAGCGCAGGGCCCGCCCCCTTGTGCCTGTTTTTCTTTGGATTCGGGCAAGTTTACTTGCATGGGCGGGGGGGGGGGGCTGAGTCTGAAGCAAGCGGAAAACGATTCGACGTGCGGAACTCACGCAGGTCGAGAGGCACTTGCACGCTCGTGTTCGATTGAGGAGGGGCGAGGGGGGGGGGGGGGGGGGGGGCGAACGCCATGCAAGTAAGCTTGCCTGGAAATATAGAAAAACAGACTCCTTCCCCCTCCTCCACCCCGGAGATCCAACGTGCAGTGGGGGCGCGTGCCAAGAAATCAGTTGGATTTTGCCAGGGTGCCCTGGGTTTTTCTTGGACTTCGATGGGCCCCCAATGAGATCTTGACGAGTTTCGATCGACGAATGTGAATTTTCACTGAACGAATCGCGGATTTCAGGGTTGGGTCTCTTGCGGAGGTTTCTTGTGGCCGAGCCCCCACTGTATTGAAAAAATCAAGGCGGCTATGTCGGCCTCCAGAGGCCCTCGCCGGGCTCCGCGACCGTCAAAAGACGACCCAGGATCAAACACCGGCCCTGGGAAAAGGGTCGGGGCTGCCAGGGACCTCGCATTGAAAAGCTCACTACTATCAGGAGCGAAAGAAGGACGTACACGTACATGAATCCACGCTGGTTTCGAGAGTTCGCATTGCGCGAATGTTCGTATCACGCGGCCGGTCTCGCGTTTCAAGGGACCGTGTTCATGTACATAGCTGGGCGCGTACGTCCTTTGTGGGCTCCCTAACATCGGATCTCTGTGACCCTCCTGCTCCTCCGGCCGCGAATCCAGCGCAGCACAGCCGGGCGCGCGGCGCACATGGAGAGACGTGGCGTCCAGCGCGCACCTTGGCGGCCCCGGGCCAAGCTCGAGTGCCCCAGGGCGGCGTGGAGACCACGCCCTGCGTGGTTTTGAGCCTCGGGTCGTATTCCTCATTGACCACCAAACCACCCCAACCCAACCCGAAGGCTCCGATTTGCCATTCATTTCCAGGGGGGGGGGTCGGGGAACATTGTAGGTGGTCACGTCCGAGGACGTCTCGGGCGACGGGGGCTCCAGGGGGCCCCAAAGCCGTGGGGTGACGGGCCGCACGGCGAGGTCCGTTGGGGATTCCCCGAGGTCTCCGCGCGGCCCATCCGCTCGCGGTTTTTTGGGGTCACCGACAAACGAACGGGTGGCCGCCGGGGTGCTCTTCGGGGGCGGCCAAGAGGGGGGTGATGATTAGGGGGTGGTGGATATCATGGCGTTGGCCGTGATATCCGTAAGGGCTTCGCCCCATGCCGCCGGCCCCTTGTTTCAGATAATGGGAG